AAATAATCTAAATTATTAAATTTAATAATTATTGCTATTTATTTGAACAACTATAGCTTTATCTGAAGCTTAAAATCTAGACAATATAATGTGATAATTCATATATGATCGGCAAATGATCGATATTGTAATATAAGCATGAACACTATGTTGTATACTAGTAACTTCTGAACTGGGGTAAGTATTAGATTAATGGAATTGCTGTCACTAAGAATCTGATTTAGTATTTCTGAAAAGGCACTGATTATAGTTTTGCTTTGGTTGCATATTTTAAAATATACTGCAAAGTCATGTGAATACTAAGAATCAGCTTTAAATCAACATTTGCCTTCCAACCTTATAGTTGAAGACTGCTATGCGAATTGATAAATGAATCATTTTTTTTTATTACGAGTTCAGGCTGACTATATCTATCATCTTACACAAAGGTATGTTCAACATTTTCCTTAGAATAGCCAAACCTGCAATATTGTTATTTATTTTTAACATGAAAACAGTATGCAGGACTGCATTGTATATGTCATTACAGCTTATATATCAAATCAATAATCTTATTGATCATCACACAATTTATTACTATCCTTTTAATATAGATACTGATCAGAAGTAGGTACGTTAAGCCTAGAATTTACCATAGTGACTATATTATTAAGATATTTCACTATTTTATTCATAATATTCTCATCTTCCTTCATTTTCTCCCATTCTATTGCAGGCGTACTTCTTCTTTTTCTTATTCTATATATATGAACACTACTACATTAAAAAATTTTGAAGATGTCAACCCACATCAGTATATGTGTTGATCATCACTAACCTATAGTTTAACATAATACATAATATTACACAATGCTGTGTACTAAAGTTTATCAACACATACTATTGTTATACATGTTTTTCAACACTATTAGTTATTTATCACATTGTATACTATTGTGTAATGATGTATACAAACGCATACTGTGACTTATCAAAAAATTAAAAATTTAAATTTAAACTTTATTTCACGAATTAAAACATGTATACATTTACAAAATATTCATTTAGTCATTCAGCACATTAAATTATATGCACTAATTCAATGATTGACTCTACAGGCACAATATTATATGTGTTTGTAATCTGCAATAAGGGTAATCATATTTGTATAAACATCTTGGATCATATTTATAATGAAAATCATACCATCGTACAAGGGCAAGGTCAGAAGATGAATAATCTTCTATTTCAACATTAATTAACATAAGAATCTAAATACATAAAATACATTGATAATTTACATTATTGTTAATACTAAACTACTAGTATTATCAACTGTATCTTGCCAAAACATGAACTTTCATTTGTATTATAGTCTTCAGTTTTTTCTTCGCTCATGTTGATCGATACATCGCTAAATGACGGTTCATTGTAATATTTGCTTTTTGCTTTAATATAATCTCTACTAGAAATAGCATTAGTATAGCTATATCAGCTAATTTTATAATTAATTACGTTAGTTAAGCCTTCGTATAAGTCAAAAAATTCATTTAACGCTGGTAGAAAGTGTTCAAAGCCATTAAAGCTTTATCAGCCAAATCATTGGTTTACTTGTAATTATTAAAAAATTCGTCAAAATCTTTTAAAAAAAATGTGTCTAAAAGGTTGTTTATTGTAATTTTTTGTCGGCGTTAGTTAATAGCTACATATTGATGCGGCAAGTATTTAACTACCAAGTTATGATAAACCTATAAAAAACAATAGCAATTTAACATACATAATCGTTAAAACAATAAGTAAAATAAATACTAACTGTTTTAATTATTTGAATTTGGATCATCCCATCTCGAGATATTTGCGATTGTATTTTAAAATCTGGATTCCTTTATTTAAAGTAGAATTTATTGATTTATAATTTTGGCTGATAATACAATTGTGAGTATCTTGTGATTGGATGATCTGAAATCAATGAATATTAGCTCTTGGATCCGCCTAGTTTTAAGAAATCGAATGGTTTTTTTTGACTTTTAACGATGCAGTACTGCCATAAGTTTATTAAAGTTTTTATAATATACTAAATAAAAATTACAAAGTAGGAAAAAACAACTAAACTATGACTATCTCCTGTAGTCTTATTGCTATTAAAAGCTCAAACCCATTTAGATCAATTGATCACCGGAATCCCTTCTGACCTAACCAAAAAATTCATATTTAATGACTGAGCTGTCAACAAGAAATTCAAATAAGGTTGTCAATACAGCAATGTAATTCTAAATGCCCTTCAATTCCATCTTCTAAATAAAATTTAAAAACTTACAACCCTCCTAAGAAGGGAAATAGGTACAAATAGAAATTATTAAAAAAGACTAACATGATTTTATAAAAACCTAAATATCTGGTTAATTCCGGATATAACGACCACCTGATCAAAGAAGGTGCATCTAAAGAAAGGTCTAAACAGAGGCTCTTCATACTTATAGATTCATAAGTATGGAAAAAATATCACATGAAATCTACTACGAAAACTCTACGATGAATCAACAGATAGTAACCTATGCCCTCTACCTGGTTACCAGAAAGGAATGGATCTAGACAAAGTGGACTTACACTAAGTAAGCAAATGGCAATGACCACCTGGAACTCCATTTAAAACTACAGTAGGCTGACAAAATATAAACCAAGTGGTAGCTACCATCATACTATATAGAAGACCTCATGAAGAAACAAAATAATAATTCACATTAAATTTGCATAATGATGTTTGAATTAGGGGATCCTGATTTAATTATTAATTTTCATAAAATCAAAGAGGGTATATTATCTAAGTATGATGTATTTTGGAAATATTCATCCAAATATTTAGAAGGAATAGCTCAAGAATTTGTTTTAGCTATTGATGAAGAAAAGTATAATACATTTCAACATCTTGAAGTTACAATTTTAACTTGAGATTTTTGTGATTAAGTACTTAAAATTTGTCCTTCAAATATACCAATTCCATCTATATAATAGATTAAGTTACAATTCTAGCCAAAAAATTCAATGTGAAAAAATAGTTTATTAAATTTATAGTGCAGGTAAGGCAATTGTATTATGATCATGAAGATTTGAATTATACTAGTGCTTTATTTCATTATCAAAAGGAAATGGCTATACTTTTATAAGTGAATTCATGATTAATTTTTATGAATGATAAATATAGATATAGCTGTTGAAAGAGGATGAAAAATTATAGTATCAAAGAATAAGGTTTTTAAAGTTATAGATTATGACTTTACAAAATATGGTATAATTCCAAGTATAATAATGTTATTTGATATTCCTGCTATAATTGATGAATTATTTTATCACAGACAAGTATATATTAGTTTAAAAGATCCTATATTTTAACTATCAGATTCATTACGTCATATGACAAAATTATATAAAATATTAAATTATATAAATAAAAATAAGCCTTATTTATTTCTTTATACTGATAGAAGACTTAATCATCGAATCATTTATATTTGTATTCAATTAGCATTAATATTATTATTTTTAAAGCTAGATTTAGATTTGCTAATTGCTGTTAGAACTCTATTAAGTTATTCTTAGAAGAATCCAGTTGAGCGAATAATGTCAATATTAAATCTTGCTATACAAAGTATTAGTCTAATCATAATAAAATGAGTGATAATTTAGAAATTTAATTAAAAAATGTAATTCTATGGAGAAAATTCACATATACTCAAATAATGAGTTATAATTGAAAAATAAATTAATAAATAGTTTACAAACTAATTAACTTGATGAAAGGTATTTTTGAGCGATTATTATTAAAGGATAAACCATTTCTAATTTATAAATTAGTAATAGAAGAAGAAATTAATAATTTATGGAAATGTTTATTAGAAATTAAAGATTCATTAGATATAGATGACAAAACAAAGAAAGACATTAAAGATAAATAAATATATTTTATTTAATATTTATTCTATTAATAAATAATTACTAAAACTATAATTAATTTTATTTAGACTAAATTACAAGAATTTTACAACTACTGCTACAAATCATGTCATTATTTTTTTTAAATTAAAAAATGCGAAGTACATGTAATGGGTTGTAATATTTGCAAGTCAATAAGAAGTGATAAACTTGATTTTTTCCAAGTTTATTCTTTACCTGATCAGTTCCCATAGATGATAAAACTAATTACAAACAATTTTTGGATGTGTATAGTACAATTACAACAGAGCAGCATAGACTATCTTTAATAAATCAAGAATAAAATAAAATGAGTTTATATAAAATTTGGTCCTACTGCTCAATTTGTAAGAAACAAATGGCATGTATTGTATAGCAAAAGTAAGATATCTTCCTTTGAATTATTATTTTTGGAAAGGTATTTGGATACTATTCAATATACATATGGTGATTCTTTTGAAGTTTTAGAAATCGTTGAGCAAAATGAATCCAATATTAATGATGATGAGAATAATGAAAACAATGAAAATGATGATGTAGGAGAAATTTTTAAAAAAGTAAAAGTTGATGATGGGTTATAATGTAGTAATCCAACAGAAGTTTCTTATTATTCAAGTGATTTATTTGAAGAAATTTGTTTTCAGTGTGGAAAAGTACCAGAAGATGAAATATAATGAAGGATATTATTATTATTGTTGTGAATGTTATATAACAGTTTAAACAAAAAAAAACGTAGTAAAGATACCAAATTTCGAATAGAAAAAGATCACGAAAATAATGTTAAATTTTATTAATTTTATTAATAAAGTATGTATGCCGTTAAATAATTTTCATTAGTAAAAAATTTTATTATAAAAAAAAACTATGAATTTTTGTAAAACAGACCCGGCCGGGTCTAAATTTTTTTTTTGTCCGGCCTAAGTGGCAGTGTAGGGCATATAGCTGATTTGCGTATACATTCATACTATAAACTTTTAAACAATTATTACAAAATAAATAAAAAAATTCTTTTTCTAAACTTGTATTACTTTTCTATTTTATTCTTTAAATAACCATATTTAATAAAAAACGTAGATATACAATAAAAACAAGGTAAAATTCTCATGTTTTTTGCTATACATAGTCTGTTATAATAGTTTTTTTGTGAATTTTAAATTTAAGTTTTTTTTATTTTTTATTCAATAAATAACCTCATTCTTTTTATTGTACAAATGTAGTATTAATATGACAGACACACCTGCAGATATTACAATCAATAATTTAATTATAAAAATGCAGTAAAAATGGTGTTCTGCATCAGGAAAGTATTTGAGGCGAATTACTCCGCAAATTATACTCTTCCATATATGTATTATGGTGTAATACTTCATATACTTACTGATTAATTTCCCTAAATTTGTTAAATTAATTAATTTTTTACAAAAAAATGTAATAATAAAAAATTGATATTCAAAACCTTTCACATGTAAAATTAATAATATGTTTTAAAAGCCTTTTATGCTGAATTTCAAATTAATTCCTTCAAATGGTTATATGCCTCAAAAAATTTTTACAATACTATGCCCCATAATAAAATTCCAAAATACTATCTTCGAAATACTACGCCGTAAAAAAATGTAGATCTATGACAGGGTTCGAAATATTATGGAGCGTAGAGATTTGCAATAAAACTTACTAAATAATTTCCTGATGTGGTTGTAAAAAATATCAGGACGAACAGATGTTTATTGAAAGAGAAATCATTCGCTCAACATGTACCAGCTGCTGACTAAGCATGCATTCACTTTTTTTATTTTTATTTTTATTATTGGATCACTTAGGCATGTGGACGAATCAAATGAAGTTAAATCAAATGGAGATATTTCGCCATTTGGCAAAAAATTTCCATTAAAGATTGTAGATTTAGAAGATATGAGTAGTTTAATCATACCTGAAGTAGAATTAGAATTGATGGCTGTTACACTGGGATGTCAATTTACAACTATTGAAGGATTATTAAAACAAATTCATGATGATTTAGAAGAAAAGTTTCCTTTATGTTGAAGATAGTATAAAAGATGAATGTAAATTTTCCTTTCAAAAATTTATTGATAAATTAAAAAGGTTATGAAGGTTGAGGCATTACCTGTCACCTAATATCTGAACAATATTTCGTATAGAAAATTAATTTGTTTGTTCTTGTTTTGTAATTTACTATGAGCGTCCAGAAAGATTCAAAATATTTGTTTTGTTATTTATTGTAAATTGTTTGTAAAAATCAATTATTAAATAAAAAAAATAAAACCAAACCATTTTTATTACATTTAACATAAAAATTTATCTGGAAGTAATTAAATGATTTTCAATGCAAAGCAAAGGATATTCATTATTTGAAGTTTTATGTCAGTATAACTCGTTACTAATTATGTTACGATGCAATATCGCACCGACCAACTTCATAATTTGTCGAGTAAATATTACTCATCGATCAAAAAAAATCCGCTTATATTTGAAAATTCGATAAAATTGTTCAAATAAAAAGATCAATTTTACCGTAAACAAACAATAAACAAGATAAATCGGTAATTCTAAAATAATATAATGTATAAATTTAAATTTGGATTATTATGCCTGATTGTTTAATAATTAAATTTAATTTTTCAGAATTTGAAATACTTCATAATCTTCTACTGAAAATAACTCTTGTGTATCCATTATTGCCTTTTCATAAACGTTAAATGAACAACAATTATAATTATATCTTTCCAATTATTATTCTTCTTTAAACAAAGATCATCATAAAATGTGGGACCACAATTAGATCTATAATATAATACCATATTTGCATCCTTCGCATAACTTAAGATTGAATCGTTGAAATTATCCTTATTCTTAAAGGAAAATATACAACTAGCATTAGTTTTACCACAATCATACCTAACCGAAGGGGTTTTCCATATTGAAGGGTTATATCCACCAAGAATTTCTTCAGTTCCTTTGACTTTAATGAATGTAAACTGTACAAAGTATCTCATCACATAATTCGTGAAACTCTTTGGAGTCAATCTATCTCGACTTCCCCTTAATTACATACTGTAAATATAATTCTCTTATATGGGTAAATTTGCTTTTAATATCTGCTTTATCAATCTATCTTGAAATCACGGAAACAATATTTAAATTAACAATTTTTGTATCAATATTTCTACGCCTAGGAAGTAAAACGCCATCACATGGCTCACTTTCTGGATCATAATTAGAAATTAATAAATCTTCATAAAGTTGATAATTCAAAAGTCTTTTATATGGATGAACTTTTTTAATGAATTCTTCAGAAGATAATCATCATCTGACCAAGTTTTATGATCTGAAATGAGTGTGGGGTTTTTTTCAAGACCACATCTTAAAATGTGTTCCCAAATTTCAACCTCTTTCATTTGTAAGTCATCTCTTTTGATCATTGAAATTAAGGCATTTTCAGAAAGAGAAGTAAAGTCAAGTGATTTAAAATACCTTTTTAGGTGATTTGGCAATAAGTTTGTTGAAAATTAGAAAGAATTAGATTGAATACTTTTTGAATAAGTTCGTTCAAAATGTTGTTCTATCCATTCAACTTGTTATTAATTAAATATTTTTGTAAATATTAACTAGCTCTTGAAGGAGAAGCAAATTAGCCGCAATCAAAACTTCAAAAATATCCGAGGTTTCATACTTTTCTAATGAAATTATTCCGCCATAAATATATCTTTATTGTATAACATACCTAAGGTTATTAATAAATTTAGAATATCAGAATAAAGTGAAATGATTTCTAGTCAAAACTTCAAAATAATTTGTAAGGTTTCCGGTAAAATGTTTTGTAACTTTATATGAATTAATTGTCCTATTTGTTGGAAGCCAAAGTTCGTCGAAAAACGGAGAACGGTAACACAATATGATCATGTGCGCACGGAATATTTTTTTCGTTTGGGTCTTCCCCTGCTTCGATTGTAATATCATAATATTCAACTTCCTATTTTATAAAAATTATTCCTGCGCAGTATTTTCGAAATAATAGTTTGAGCATTGAGAGGATTAATCTTAAAATTATGCAAATCATGGCAATTACTTTGACAGATGAGAGTTTTAAAAAGATGTAGAAGTGCAAAAAAACCGAAAATTTTAAAATTTCGAATCAAATTGAATGAGAATTGAAACTTTTTTGATGTACCTTCAAAAAAAGAAAATTCGTGATCGAATTGTTTAATACAAATCCTTCTTATCTAATTGAAATTCGAAATAGATGAATTTATTATGTTATATTTATTATATATATATATATATACAGTATATATTTTAAAAAAAAAATTTCTCTTTTTGAAAAATAAATTATAAGATTTTGAACTCTTAAGTACCATGTATATACGCAATTTATTTAATATGTATAAAAATATTGAAAGAGACTTTATAGATGCTTTAATATGAAGAAAGTTATACTGCATGATACGGTTGCCGTCAAGAGAATTTTAGAGCCGTTCAAAGTTCCGAAGATGAGTTTAATCCCAAATATTATTATTCATGCGCCCCATCAAATTTTAAAGAGTGTTTAACGAAGTTTAACGAAGTTTATTGAGTTTATTAAGTCTTAACTTATAAAATTTTGCAAAAAAATTATCTTTAACCACTTTTTAAAATATTTGTACCAACCATATATTTCATATGTATTAAAACAATGAAAATTGCGAAATCGTGGAAATGGTACTTTGTACTTTCTCAAAAAAGGAATGATAAAATAAAAGTTCAATGCAAATTTAATAATTTAAAATTTTAGCATTTATGAGATTCGGCCAAATCTCTACTTTTTCGATGCGGTGTTCTACAATAATAATTTTACAATGCATTATCCAATCGAAAGAAAGTTTTATAAAAAAATTTACATATTTATATTTTTTCCTTTCATTAGGTCCTAAGGGAAATCTAATTTATTGCATATAATTTGTCAATTTATGATGCTTGGCGTTTCTTTATACTTTAAGGATATGAAAATTTCTAACATTAGAACATCATTAATATTTGTAATCATATCGGTTCAATAAAATATTTATCCCTTAGATAACAATAATTGCATAAAACTTGGATACTACGTTATATGGAACACCAAGTTCGTTTATTTTATTTATAGTTTCCGAGTTATTCTTACTTATTCCATTTTTTGACGCTAGACGATTTCTTGAATAATTTCGATTGTCGCTCTAATTTACATCTGCACAAGAGTATCTGGTTGAAAACGCAGCTAATTTGTTTAGAGAGATTATTAATCGTAACGGATGTCCCAATAATTTTATCAAACAGCAAGCACGGGATCAACTCAAGAAAGAATTATGCAAAGAGAATCGGATTGCCCTGAGGACCCATATATAGTTATTCCAGAACATCTTCGGGACTTGGGTCTCATTGAATAGAGTTAAAACTTTAAATGCATTTGTGTTTCGCTAATCGAGCAAAAAATCATGTCCTACTACGGGTATTCACATTACGTTACTTTACTTTTATAAAAAAAAAATCTTCATTATACTTCAATGATAGAGAGTTTCTAGGTAAACTATATACACTTTACACATTCTATATCTAGAAATGGTTTCATTTTTTTTTGCCATATCGATGAAACAACTCGTAAATATTTTGCACGCAGAGGAAATCTCTCAGGTTTTTAAACAAGTATGATATTGAACCGTTCAAACTGCTATACTTCAAGTGGGATTTTTTGAGAAATTAAACGTGCGGTTGGGAGTCAGATCTTAAGAGTAAATGTATTAAAGGAAAAAGGAACGACCTCGTAAGATAATTACTTATCAATACACCATAGCACTGGGATAATACTTGTCTATAGAAATGAACATCCCGGGTATATCGAACCAGTAGGTCAATCAATATTTCGCGAATATTGTTGAGTTCGTAACCAGATGGAAAACCACTACTAATACAACAAATACCTTGACACAAGCGCGAACTATATGGGAAGAGCGTGTTCAAAATGATTTAGAAAAGATAGAAAGTTGTTTGAAATTTGAGCACTACTTTAGTATTGGAGCACGAGAGAAAAAGTATGCTAAAGAGTTTTGAAAGTTTGCTGATTATTTTATAATAAAAATAGACGAAAGAAAAAAAAATAAGATTAGTTTTAATTTGGTGTATCAAGTTTTTAATCTATTAAGATCAAGTTAAAATCAATCATATGATTACTGTCTCGTGACTTATTTAATGTTAAAATCATCTACCAATTTAGGAAATATCCAATAGTAGTCGATTAGTGTGTACCGTAGGAAACATCGAAAATCGAATAGGAAGTCGATTTTAAAAATAATAAACGTTGATAAGAAAGAATCCTATTCCATTATTAATAATTTTTGAAACATTCACAAATTCAATATATTAAATCATTAATGCATTGACGTTACACGGACTCATTATTAAACTGGATTAGAATATATTTATAATGGTAAAGAACAAATATGTGGTTTCAGTCTATTTTATTAATTCATAAGGAGAAGGGGTTGATTTCTAAATTGATAGGGATTATGTATTATGATATTGTAACAAAAAAAAATCTCATTTGTGCTTACTAAATCTTTTTTTTCTTTATATTACAAACATTTCATCAAAATATTATCTTAATCGTTCACGGACATATTATACAAAAATGTAATCTTTTAGTTATTTTTGAATATTGTTATGTGTCACGTCCTTTAATCCGAAACGTCCAAGACAATAAGACTTGAAGATTAATTATTATATTTTATTATATATACAAAATTGGCAATTCAATAATCTCAAGATTAAAGCACTGCTAATACGAATATTCGATGTATTATCCCTGTAATTAGGCTCAAAAAGCTTACTAATAACGTCATTATTAGTATTAATGTGAAATTTGTCCTGATGGCCACAAAATACATTATCTAATTCCAAGAGAAAATGAGAAAAAAATCAATTAGATTATAAGTTCAAGATATAAATTGAATTTTGTAGCCTTTTTAAAAGAAATTGTTTAACTTACGAGAATAACAAATTGAGATACGTCTTCAAGTAAAACCATAAATAATCCAATTTTGTTCAAGAATTTCTCTGCTCTATTGCTAACTGGAGCATTAAATACATCTGAGTGTAAGAACTCCGATGTAAGTATCCCCAAAACATCTATATGAAATATTGATAATAATACAAATGCTGTCGCTACATGAAGCCTTGGTCTCATCCATTTTTTAAATTCCTTATTTGTATTCGCTTGACTCATAATGAAGATAAATGCAATCAAAAGATTTAATCCTGAAGTTCCGAATAATACTATTAAGCTATTTTAAAACAAAGGTATATAAGAAATCCGATTACAGAAGGTCTTTTTAATGAAGTTTAAATACCTTGGAAGAAATAGCTTTGGAACTTTTGAAACATATCCTATCAAAAATATTACATCCAAAACCATATCGATTACGCATAATGTAAAGGTAAATATGATCGAACTTCTCCCCTAAACACATTATAATTTACAATTTAATACTTATAAATAAATTTCTTTAAAAAAAATAAAACTAAAAGTAATTATTACTCGGGGAAATTTAAATCGCAAATAGAGGTAAGTAATCACAAGACCTATGATAAATGCGGCCACAATTAATAAGAACACTATTTCCGCTTTTGTTAATGAGGCTACAGAGTAAAAATTTGTTTTTAAAAATATATATTTTTTTTAAAAATATAGATATATTGAATTTATCTAAACATACTAAAGTAATTGATAATTCCATTGAAAAAATCTATAACGTCTTGAATCATTTTCAAATTATATAGTTATATCAAATAATTTTGATGTTTTTATATATTTAATAGCAATTTTGTGATTTACATATTAATGACTAAAATTGATTATGATCTGATAATTACTAAAAAATGATTATGATCGGGTATGTTTTTAAAAGTGAAAATAAAGAAGTTCTGCGGTAGGGCTGTACTACGCCGTTGCATCTCACCTGATATTATAGTCGAAAGGTAATTTGCATATTCCTCCTTCAAAGGTAAGGATTTTCATCTAAAATGATATTCAATGCTTTAATAAAAAAAATCATTAAATAATTGTGATTATCAAATATTTTTGATAAATTTTAAATTCATTTTATATAAATTTGTTTGCAAAGAATAAATCAAAATCAATGATAATTGCTAGATTTGATTCTTTTTGACTAAATAAAACCTTATAATAATATACAAACTAATGCAATCATCATATATATTAATATTATTATCAATATTTTTATGATTTAATAAAATAAATATAAATGTGATTTAAATATATAATTAAATACTATTTAATATAATTTTTTATCATTTTTATCAATTCATTATTATAAAATTTTTGCTGTTTATTAATATAATTAAATCTTTATTATTTTAATATACGGGAGGTTTGCTAGAAAAATAGGCCTGAGCATTTTATTATTAATATTATCAAAAATTAAAATGCAATAAAAATTAAAATTTTAATAATAAATTCTCAGTTCCATTTTCCTAGCAAACTTCCCTATATAATAGATATTTTTGTATATATTCTTTAATAAATATTAATATAAACAAAAATGGGAGTTCTGAGACAAGAATCCAAAAGTTATCCAGAAAGATTTCTATCCGTTGTAGTTGCCATAACCCTTCTTTTACAAATGTATAGCATTTTTGAGTTCGATAAGCTTCAACATAGCTTGTACTTTCTTAACCATTTCTGCTACTCGTCATCAAGAAGATTTGTTTTATAAATTAATTTTTTAATTGCTGAGAATCTTTTCCTTCACATTGAGCGATAATTTCCTTTAATAATTTCTTTTCAATGTTATTGTTATCTAATCTTCAGTCAAATTATTCTTTATCTTCCTTTAACTATTGCACTTCTTCTCTTTATTCTTATTTTTCTTAACATTATATTTATTTCTTTCTTATGAATATTTCTTCTGAATATCTTCTGAATATTATTTATGAATATGTCTTTCGAATATTATGTCTCCTTATTATTCATTAATATTTTCCTTAATACATTTATTTATTTCTCTTCATATTTTTACGTTTAAATATTCTTTAACTTCTGTCATATTTTTATTATTCCTTTTTTTTTTAAGTTTTATTTCTTCATTACTTCATTAACATTTTTCTAAAATTTAAGTTTATATACAAGCGAAATAACTTTATTTATTTCCATAATTTATTATTCAACAATTAATTATTTCAAACAAAAGTATTCATTTTTATTTGCGTTAAAAGTTTATTTATTAAATTATTATTTTATTATTTTTATTCTTGAGAAATTGAACGACTTAGTTCCTTAAAGGAATCTTAAGCCTTTATATAATAAAATTCACTTCGTAATATTCGTTACATGATTTTTACTACATGATTTTCTGTTATAAAATTTCTATTTTTACTATTTTTCTAATATTCCATTATTTATTACTAAATTCCGTATTTGTATTTATTTACTATTTATTATTTATTGTTTACTATTTAATTTCATTCCGTTGTATTAATTCATACTTCTGCTATATTACTTTTACTTTCGTTATATTAATTCTCATTTGTTTTCCTTATAATCATTAATGTTTTAATAATAATTTTTCCTTCTTACTTTTTCGGACTTCTGTCTTTCTTTCGTACTTTGTATCACTAATGACTTCTGTTCTTCTTCTGATTTCCATTTTGTTTATGATGTCATGTGTAACCTTTATATTACACAAGCTTCCATGTGATCCAGTTTGTTATTTCTAACGATTGTGACTTTTGTGTAACCTTCTTGCATCTTCATGTAACCTTTTCAATTTGTTATTTTTCAAATATTTTTCCAAGTCTTTTTATAAGACACTCCGTCCGGTTGATTAATTATCCTTTTTCCTTGACCTTCCGTTCGGTTAATTAATTATTCTTTTTCTTTCGATAACTAATTTATCTGAATCATTTCTTCTGTGATTTATTGGTTTTTGTATAATCTTCCTTTCGGTCTGTAATTTATCTGAGTATTATTCTTTCTTTTAATAAAATGATTATTTATCTTTTTATCATATGACTTTTCCTTATAATTTTTACTGTATATTGTTAATTATTTCCTTTTGTATTGCTACGCCTTAATTAATAAAATTGTTAATAGTACACCATTCACGAATCAATTTAGCTATATAAAATCAATTATCAAATTTAATTATCTAGTGTAATTTGAATTAAATTTAGATGATGCTATCGAACTTAACTAGGAATTAGCCTTTAGATAATAAGAATTATATTGTTTGATATACCTATTCTAGCCTGATTTTAATCCCAAATAATATATTAAAAAAATTTTACTATTTTGTTAGCCTCTGAAAGGACTATTAAAAATCAAGAAACAAAGTGATGCGATTTGAGCTAAGTCTGATATTGCAAACCAATATGAATAATAACTTTTATGTTATTCTGCTTACCTCTGGAAAAGCAATCGAAAATCAATGAACAAAGTGACATGATTTGAGCTGGGCCTGATCATGCAAGTCTAAAATGCATACCATATTCTAAGTCTCACCTTTAAATCATACCTCTAAATCGCATCTTTTATCAAGTCTCACCTTTAGGTTACACCTTTAAAGGATAATAAATTTGTAAATTAAAAGTTTATTGAGCATGTTCTAGCATGCTAACAATTTCTCAATATACAGAAAACCTTTTAAATTCATTTTCTTTACAAAAATTTAGGACAAAAAAATTACACCTCTAAGATATATATCTATGCTAAATCTCACCTCTAAGTCACATCTTTTATCAAGTCTAATCTTTGAGTCTTATTCCACAATTTATTATAATATTGCATCAAATAATATCCTTTAATATATTTAGCATACTGTCTACAAGCTGTAGTAGTAGGTTTGCCACAATCAGTACAAGGATAGCATTTTTTAGTTTTCCAATATTGCTAATATCTTTCAAATCGAGTGCAAGCTTTACCACAAGTTTTGCTAGAATTATGAAGATAGTCGCAAGTATAAGATGTCATCATTTACAATAGGAATGAAAAATTTAATTAAACAAAATTATCTGCAATATAGAAAAGTGAATAGCAGATATACACAAAGGGTAATTATTTTTATTTAAACAAAGTTTACATAATATTAAACAGGTGAGACTTATTAATATCATGCCTAGAAGTGATAAGAAAAATTGTACTTGTAGAGATTGTGGTTATAAATTTACAAGACTTGCTAAACTTTGTCAGCATTATAAAAGTAATAAAAATCAATGTGAAACAGATCCTGAAATTAATATTCAAGAGATGCAAGTAGTGTTCTGCAAAAAATCTGATTCAATCTGAATCTGATTCAAATTTGACAGATCGGATTTATCAGATTTGAATTAGATTCAGATCTAGATTTTGATTTGATTTGATCTGTCAGATCTGGATCAGATTTGGATTTGGATTTGATTCAATTTGACAGATTTGGATTTGGATTCAGATTCAATCTATCAGATTCAGATTTGGATTCAGATCTGATTTGTTAGATTTGTAATAAAAAATGCCACCCTAAAGTCAGACGCGGCATTTATTATTAAAAAAATTAATTTTTAATTATAAAATGCCGATCCAAACATCGGAGGCAGATTTTTGTTAAAAAAAACAACAAAATTATTATTTTTTAACATTAAAACACCGTTCCGAACGTCAGAGGCAGATTTTTGTTAAAAAATAACAATTTTGTTATCTTTTTAATATTAAAACGCCGTTCTGAATGGCAAAGGCGGATTTTTGTTAAAAAAATTTTTTTGATCTGTCAGATACGGATACGGATTTGGATTTGTCAGATTCGGATTTATCAGATTCAGATATGGATTCAGATTCAGATTTGTCAGATTCGGATCGTATCGGATTCAGATTTGTCAAATTTGTATCGAATTGGATTTGGATTTTTCAGATTCAGATCAAATCAGATTTTGCTCAAATCCAATCTGATAAGCTGAAAAATCTATTGACATTTTATGTGGATTATCTTTTTTAAATATTTCTAATGAATATTCTTTATTATTCAATAATTTGCTAAATATTCTCAACAAATTTTTATAAAAAAGAATATGTGTTGTAAGGTAATTAAAAGACATTTACTTTTATTCAAAATACTTGCTAATTAGCAATTCATTATATATTTATCAACAAAAAAATAAGCCTAATAGGAATTACTATTTGTTAAGTTTAAACAGTCAGTTAATCACTAAGTTAACAATTCATATTGCTAACAGAGAGATTATATTAAGTTAAATTATGAAGAAATAAACACTAATTAATTTTATTGAAAGGTTTATCAATATAGATTTAAAGAATTAATTATAGATTAAGTTTTAGAGATAAATGTTATTGATTTATTAAAGATTTTGTAATGAGCTCTGCCATTTATTAGGGTAAAGAATTAGGATATTCATATAAAATACATCAAAAGAGAATAAATATCTAATAAAGTAGAGAAATCCAATAAATAAAGAAAATAAATATAACTAAAAAATAAATATATTATAGTAATATAAGAAATTATAGAAAGTTAGATGATCCACAATTCACTACTATGATTGGCGCAGTATCCCCAGTGATACTGACAAAAGATTCGCGACCATGTGACATACAATTTTTTATCACGCCTGACCTTGATTCATTGTTACTATTCTATTTATTTGAGGGACAGAAATTATTTTAGGCGTAAAATTATATTTGTCACCCTTAGATTTAGGGTTAGGGGCTATACATAATGCAGGCCCATTATCACGTGATCGCGAAATTTTTGTCGGTGTTTCTAGGTATCACTCAAAATAAAACAAAGGATTAGATACTTTTAACAAACTATATCTAGTCTATAGTGAAATTTACTTTTAAATTTTTTTCGTAATTAAGCTTTTATTACTATAGTTAAATTAATTTTATAAGAATCATCTTACTAAATCGATAATAACTTTGAATCCTACTTAATCATTTTCTTTCAAATTCTGCAAAAACAACCCAAAAAATTGCCTCTTTAAAAAATTCGATTCAATCATTAATAAAGTAATACTTTGTGCACAGCATCTAAAGAAAAAAATATATTTTTTCTTTGGATATGTTTAAAAAAGATCTATTATATGTTTCTTAAAGCTATCATGTGCAGTATCGTTTATTTTATGGCATTACACAATTATTAATCATGTGCAAGTTATTAAATTTTAAAATTTCAGAAGAGAATATCAGCTCAAAGAACAGATATATAAACTATCAACGACCGCTCACCCCAGTGTCCCATGACGATGTGATCAAGTGATGAGTTCACAATAACAGCCAACAATACTCAATGGTGAATTTGTTGTTGTATATGCAAGTACATGTTTCTATTCAATGATTGCTTGATATACATAATACTAATAAAATTGCCTTACGAAAAGCTATCATGCCAAATTCACAAGTAAAATCTAAATTAATATTTATTGAAACGCATGGTACTTTCAGAACTAATCCCTGTTAAGTTATGTCATTTCGTTTTTTTAGTCATTTTGGTAACGTTGAAATGCACTTCCTTTAGGATAATACATACAATTATATCAAGAATTAATAAAATTAACTACAGTTTATGCACGGAAATTATCCGTTTAAATGTGGTAGATTCAGAACTTTTCCAAAGCATAATATTTAGGGTGCACAAATTTCAGCGCCAGCATATATAAATTGTTAAAAATGGTTACAATGTTATATTTATACGCAATGTTAAAGTTTCAATTTATTATTGTTGTTCTTAATTATTATTGGATTCAAATTCTTAATTATATAAATTATTAATTAGCTTTTTATTGTCATTATTTTTTTTAATTTAATGATGTTACTTATTAAATCTTGAGCAATAGAAATTAACGAACATCAGAAGTACCATTGTTTTACTTTTGAAATGTTCAACTTCAATCAGTGAGCAAGACTTTATTAAAAATCACAACATAAGATTGTTTATTTCCTTGTGGAGGACGCTTTCTAAAATAGAAAAATGAAACTTTATTTAAAGACCATTTTCTTTAGTACTATGTTAGTATTTTTGACGTAAAAGAAAAGATTGAAATTAAAAAAAAATTGATGAGCAACTGCGCAATTTGAATGTACATAAAGAACGAAATTCTATGATTAACAAAACTCACCAGGGCATAAGACTTTTGAAATTTACCATTCATATATTATATGTCCATCCCAGATGGCATTTCATCTCCACTTTCCTCATTTTCCAGTTTGAGAGGTTTAATTGTGCAGAAACCGAACTCTCTTCTATAATCATCATCTCCCAAAGATTCTCCAAATTGTACCTCTCTCGATTTAGCATTAAAGTATTTGTCATCAGCTCCTTGGATAATTTTTGAATTTTTGTATAGACGCCATGCTTCTCTTTTCATTGCTCCTTTGGCAAGATTCTTAGAAACGAAGCCGCGACAGTCAATAGAATTCTCAATAGCTTTGCACGGGGAAAAAACTATCGTCAATATCCAGACTTTGTTATCCTTCTTATCTGAGAGAAGTCGAATAAAAAAAATAAAGTATTCAAGAACTTGGTCCCACAAACAAAAAATATAAGTATAGTTTAACTAATGTACCTTTTTGTCGCGAGGTATTTGTCGTCAGCATTTTTTTGTTTAATATTTGCAGTTGATGTGGTTTTGGTGAGAAAGTTTCTAGTAGTAAAATAAAACGAATCGAATACACTTTTATACTCGTGATTGTCATCCAACGCACGTGATCTGCAATTAAAAATTCTTTCGTAACACTTGCCGCAACAAAATTAATCTATTGAAGTATTATTATTTTTTATTGATATTTCAAGAGAATAACACGGTAATTCAAATTATATATTAAAAAGATGTCACTAAAAGTTTTCCGTTTTTATATAAATTGTGGAATATTCAATTTATTACGAATTTGTAGTAAATTATATTTTATATTCAGTTAATGATTGTTTAATCAAAAGAAATATTATTTTGTTATCCCAAGAAGACATTCTGTAAACATCTATTTAAATTTCGAAGATGCTTAAAAGATAGTTATTTGTTGTAGTAAAACATTCGAGGAAGTTAAAGTTAACTATTTCATACAATGTGTCAAGTTACAATAAAACCTATATCATAACGCTGAGGACACTGTCAAATAAAGGGGATTGATGATTTCTTTAAAGAGGTGAGGTTTGAGAATTACGACTTTATTATAAAGTTATTGGCTTTATAACTTAATTTCAATCATCTTATAAAGATAATATAAGGATATTGAAAGTCCCTAGATCGGAATATCCCGGTTAAAGAATTCTGGAGATTCATAAATTTTGGAAAACTTATCAAATTTAAATATGTCTTATGATTCTTAAAGAATAATTTTATTTTTATCATTCTTAAGGAATAATACATAATCATTCCAAAAGAACAATTTTGTTATTATTCTTTTGGAATGATACATAAACCTTTCCTTTAGAATAATTTCTTTTATTGATTTTAAAGTATTAATTTATTATTTTTCCTTTAAAATATTATTCTTAAGGAATGATTTGTTTTAAAAAAGAAATTTTTGTTATCATTTTCTTGAAATATACATTTACTCCAGAATGTGAACCTGATAAATGACAAAAGTCTAAAATAGTATTTTGTAATTATTATTCATTATTAATCCAGTATATTGAAATTCTAAGAAATGGAAATTGATTTTTACTTGTCCAAGCATTAATTGTAAATGAAAATAAACTAGATACTTACTATCAATTTTAATATAAATATTAATAATTAAATATATTAATTTAATTTATTAATAAAATATTTACCTGTAATTTTTGATATAAATTATCTTTTATATGTATAAATTTGCATCGAAATCACATTGTAAACTATCTGCTGATGGTAAATTAAAATCAAATTTAAGATATGTTAATATATCTATAAATTTATTTTCTTTAATATCTGTAAATGGTTGATCATAATTACTATCTAATCAATTAACTTTTTTCTAAATCTTATGATGTAAACTTTTTATTTATTTATAATGATTCATTATTTTGATAAATATATTGATAATGCTTTTTCACATGTATCCATAATGTTGAAATAGATTTATTACTAAAGTTTTTGCTATTTTAACGTAAATATTAATTAAAATTATATTGTAGTATTTAAATATAAAAAATACTTACTTGCAATGATGTGTATTTGGAAGATTGGAAGCACCTTTGAAAGGTTTGGAAGCACAATTAATTAATAAATCTATTTGGATTGGAAGCTTCCAATCAAATTTTTACTATTAGAAGCATAAAATACACATGACTGCTTATTCGTAATAATTGCATTTCCAATGACTAGTTAAAGAATCCAATTTAAAATATTAATATATTACTGAAATTCTTTTTTTATCAATTAGAAATATTTCTTGCTTATTATTAGAAGAAAAATTTATATAGTTACTTTTACTGATCAAAATCAAAAAATTAACTTTTGCTATTTATTGTCAATTTAGACTAAATTTAGAAATCTGTCAAAAATTAGCTATTGTATTTATAACCGATTTATGATAGATTAAAGTTGAGCCAAAAATCAACTCCAATTAGTCTAATAAGATAATGCAAATATTGATTGGAAAAATTATCCTAAAGATATGATAGTAAACAATCATTTTAAATTGAATGATACAATCATCTAAAAGAATGATTCAATATCATTTCAATCAAATGATGCAAATTTGATAGGAATAATTAAAAAAATATTTTAAAGGAACAATAGACTATCATTCTTAAAAATTATCATAAAAGAATGATAAATTATTATTCTTATTGAAAGATTTGAAAAATCATTTCTTTAGAATGATAAATTATCATTCTTATTGAATGATCAAAAAATTATCGCAAAGAAATGATAGACTATCATTCAATAAGAATGATAATTTATTATCTTAAAGAGATAACAGATCAATTGTTCATTAAGAATAATTAAAAAATCATCCCTTTAGGATAATAAATCATTATACTTATTGAACAATTTAAAAAATTATTCCTTTAGGATGATATATCATTATTTTTATTAAATAACTAAAAAATCTTCCTTTTGAAACGATATATCATCATTTTTTTAAATGATTTGAAAAATTATTGATATATTATTGTTCCTTTTGAAATAGTTCAATATCATTCCAATCAGATGATACAAAATTGTCTAATTAGAATAATCAAATTATCATCTTAAAGAAATAATGCTCTATTGTTCAAATCAACATCATTGTTCTAATTAGATGATAAAAAGTCATCTAATTGAAATGATCAAATCATTATCTCTTAAGGGATGATACAAATCATTCAATAGAAATGATATTTCAATTTGATAATATAAAAACCATCTAATTAGTTAAAATTATTATAAATAAATTTCAGATTAATCAAAAACTTTCAGATGAATATGAAAAAAATTTTCTATTTTTTTTTCTTATCTTGAAGATTTTTAACATTTTTTTTTTAGGAAAATTCTTATTTTGGAAATATAATAAGTTATTCTTTAAGTGAAAATTTACTATTTTTCTTATTTTTCTTATTTTTTAGGAAAATTCTTATTTTATAAATAAGTAAATTAGAAACAAGTTCTTAAATGGATTTTCCTTTCTTTTTCTTATTTTTTATAAGAAAAGTAAATTAGAAGCAAGTTTAGACAGATTTTTTTTTTTTTTTTAAGAAATTTCTCTTTTTGAAAATAAGAAACGTAAATCAGAAGTGACCTTTAGATGGATTTTTCTTCTTTTCTTTTTTTTTTAGGAAAGGTATTATTTTGGAATTAAGGTAAGCAAATGGTTGATGACTTTTTGGATAAAAATTTACCATTTTTCATTTTTTTCATTTTTTCTTAGAAAAATTTTCATTTTGGAATTAAGATAAGCAAATTGTTAGTGATTTTTTGAGTAAATTTAATTATTTTCCTTTTTTTTTTTCTTTTTTTAAGAGATTTTTCATCTTAAGCAAATCGTTGGTGATTTTTTGAGAAAATTTCTTATTTTAGAATTAAGGTAAGCAAATTGCTGATGACTTTTAGGTGAAAATTTATTATTTTCCTTTTTTTTTTCTTATTTTTTTAGAAATACACTATGATAAGTCAATCAAAGTTAGAAATTTTTGACTTTTTACTTTATTTTTTATATATATTGCAAAATATTTCTTTTTAAGAAATTTAAGTTTAACAATTATGTAAAATAATAAAATATAAATTAAATAAATTTAAATAAATTTAAATTTGTTATATTAGTTTTGATTTGTGATTTTTAGTTGATTTTAGGTGGTTGAATTAGATTGATTTTTAGCAAATTATGTCTAATTTTATAGTTGATTTGTGCTTGATTTTAAGTAGTATAATTAGAATGATTTTTGGCTGAATTGTATTTGAATTGTGACTGAATTTAGATTTTAAATTATTATATCTGAATTGGTCCTATTGGCGCTGAATTATACCAATAGGATTTAGATCAAATTTATTACAATTTAACCATAATTAAGACACAATTCAACTTAAATTCACATACAATTCAAATATCTGATTTTTAGTTGAATTGTATCATTTTGACTAGTATTTGTAACATGATTTATATTTTAATAATATTAAATTCAATACTTCAATTAAAAGCCTTTTTATTTTCTAAAAAAATAAATCTAAAAAATAATGTTAATGAGGCTTATATAATAATCTTATAAATCTTAATATTATAAATTCACTTTAAAAGATTGAGATTTCCTTTAAAAAAAAAGCTATAGGAGCCTTTTCTCTCTTAAAGAAGAAGCTATAGAGGCTTTTTCCCTTCTAAGAAAAGTTACACAATTAATTTTTTCAAAACATATACCTCTAACAATGATTTTTTGCAAGAAAACATCTCCAGTAATGATTTCTCTTAAAGAAAAAGCCACAGAAGCAATTTTATTCAAGGAAAAGCTACAGATGTAATTCTTTTAATAAAATACCTCTAGCAATAATTTTTACTAAAAGAAAAGCCATAGAAGTGATTCTTTTTAATAGAAAAGATATAGAAATAATTCCTTTAATAAAAATGTTTCTGGAAATAATTCCCTTTAAAAAAAATGTCTTTAGAAATAATTTCCTTTAAGGATATATCTCTGGAAATGATTCTCTTCAATAAAAAAGCCATGAAGGCTATTTCTTAAAAAAAAATGCTTCTGAAGTATTTTTAAAGTAATGATCTAGAAGCATTTTTAAAAGTAATACTCTGGATGCATTTTTATTAAAAAATAATGCTCTAAAAGCGTTTATTTAAAAGTAATACTCTAAAATATTATTTTTTTAAAAAACATTTTCAGAATCATTTTTTTTTGAAAAAATTTACCAAAATCATTTTCTTCAAAGAAAACGTTGCTGGAATTGTTTAACTTTAAAGATATAATTATTTAAAACGTTATTCTTCAATGTTAATCTGCTGGATTAGTTATTTTTTAAAATAAAAAATCTAAGCTAACAAGCTGAGCTATAGTACAAGCTAGCTTAATCAGCTCATAAGCTATTTTTTAGAAGTTCAAACTGAATTATAATGAGTTGACTCATAAGGTTTGTGATCTGGCTTAGCTTATAAGAAGCTTTAATATTAATCATATTATCTTAAATACTCTTAATATTTCTAAGTATAGATTTTTAAGCAGTTTTAGGGAAATTATATATACAATAGAACTAAAATTAATTATTAGTGAAATTTTTACATTCTTAATATTTATATCACAATACATACAATAGTTTTTTTTTAAAACTCATTTACATACTATAATTCAGCACTATATTCTCAGCTTTTTCTTCTATGATAATAGATCTTTCAACTATTAGTTTTTGTATTACTTTTAGTATAGCTTGTCTGAACTTAGGATTCATAGCTATTTGCTATCTATTAATAATAGTAGCAGATTGGTCAAAAAATTGCTGTAACTTATGAAATTTATATTGTTTATAAGAGTGATTAAAGAATCTTTCTTTTAGTTATTTTGGGTTTTGATTTAATCATTATATTTTTTTTATTATTTTGCTAATTTGTTAATTATTGTATATTTTAGCTTCATCATATTATATTTATTCAAAGAAAGTCTCTTGAGTAGTGTTAAGTTTAAATAGTATATTATTAAGTAAACAGAATGTATTTGTTAACAAGAAGTTTAATTATATTTAAATTATAAAAGAAATAAACAAAATAAACAAAGATTAATTATATTAAAGGGTCAAGTCATTTTTATTAATATAGATTTAAAGAAAAATAAATTATAAACAAACAAAGATAAGTTTTTGAGATAAAATCTTATAGATTTATTAGAGATTTATAATAATTCTAGTTAAAGATACAGGATATTTATATAAAATACATTAATATAAAATAGATATTTAATAAAATAAAGAAATATAATAAAATAAAGAAATTAAATATATATAAAAATTAAAGATATTAAATAAATGTAAAAAATTATATATTGCTAAAAAATTATAGAAATTATAGAAATTAAATAAATAATAGAATGTTAATATTCATGATCATTGGAATTACCATTTGTCAATAATATTTATCATAATATCATACATAATAACAAGTCTATCATAAACAGCAGCTTGTGTTCATATATTAGTAGTCTGATAAGCTTTAAATAAGGATAAGTTTGAGAAAATAACTAATTATTAAAATCAATCATTTGTATATTAGGAGTGATTATGCTATACTTATTTATATAGACAGCTACTATATTCTGGTTTTGATATATTAGTTTATATGCCTTTATTCTATTGAGAAATGCATCCTATATTTGATTTTTATACAGTTTATCATAAGGGTTATAATCCATTGACTATTCTTCATAGCATTTGAATAATTAAATATAGAATTTTCAATTATTTTTATAGTTTTTGTAAAGTGTATGCATATGAATAACTATTTTACTCAGTTATTGATAACATCATTAGTTTAGTTATCCAAATTTTAACCAAAGTCTAGGAATAAAAAACAGTAGAAAAATTCTGTATAAAATCAGTATTATTATTATTTCCTATCCAAGCATCTAAGGTAGACCCTATCTAGTTATACAAATTTTAGACCTATCAGATAAGATGATATAATTGATTGACCAATTAAAGTCAAGATAATTGATAATATAACTCAACTTATTTTAACTAATGTAAGTTATATAAATTAGTAAAAGTATATCACAAATGCATAAATCATTAATTATTAGATTAGACGTCCAGCCTAATCTTATAAGATTAATAAATTATTTAATTGACTTTATTTAACATAGAATACTAAAAAATTAATATTTATAAGTAAAATTACTAACTTTATTCCTTACAATTACTTCTGTGATTCAAAATTATATATTGGAATTAATTAAATCATTAAGATTCGATCATTAATAATTTAGAATTATCAAACCCTAAATTTTTAAATTCGATCATCAGATATACTGAATCTATTTTTTACTAACTTTAAAATAGTAAGTATTTAGAAAATAGATTCTTGAATCATGATATTTTGATGACTCATATCCTATATTATATTATTAATTATGTAAGATTATTCTGAGAAATTTTACAATAAATACATAAAAATTTGAAAAGTATGTATGAAATATTTGATCAAATTTTGAATAATTCAATTATTAATTGAATAAATAATTGATTACTTAAAAATATTAAACTAGTCAATAAATATATATTATATTTTATAAAGAACTATCTTTTAAATTTTAAATTATAATTATATGATTAAATAAATAATTATCCAAAATTTTAAAATACATAATATAGTTTATACTCTATATAATAAATTATTAAATTAGAAGATTAAATACATTATATAAAAAAATTTATTATTTATATAACAATTATTTATTTTATCTTATAATAAATATTTATTATAGGATATTTTTTTATAAATATAATTTATTTATATATAATTAAAATATTATTAGTTATATAATGCTATATAATTTAGAAAGCTATTAAGAATTATTTGTTTTATATATTAATATATTCTTATGAAACTTTTTCTTAAATCTTTAATCACATATCCCTTAAATCGTAAGGTTTTGCAGGCAAATTTGTTTACTTATTTACTATAAATTTTCTTCTGATTTATTTTTATAAATAATTAATATTTTTTAAATTTTTTTTTAAATTAATTTATAAATATAATAAATTATAATAAGTTTTATCTTTTAATTATATATTAAAAAGAATAAAATTACTTAAAAGCTAAAATTTGTAATTTTTAAAAAAAAATTTATATTAAAAATTTCATGATTAATCTATGATAAACTTTTTAGGATTTACTTTTAATTATATTAATTATAATAGATTATTATAAAATTACTTATAAAGTAAAACTTTTATTATTGTTATTATAATTTTTATATTTATTAAGAAATTTTATAAATTTAATTAATGATAAAATGATTCAATTAGTATACAAATATATAAATTTTTAAAGAATTTAAAAAATTATTATAAGAAATTGTTTGAAACTTAATTTTAAAATTAAATTATTTTAAAAACCTTTAAAAAACTTAAAATCTTTGTTAATAAAATTAATAAAATATATATTAACTATATTTTTTATATAATAATGATATTACTAAAATTAATATTTAATATTTTATAAAGAAATTAACACTTTTTTTTAAATTTACAGGCAAATTTGCTTGCTTTACAGTTTAAGTGATAAGTCTTTAATATTAAGATTAAATTTATTAGATTGTTATTCAAGATAAAGAATACAAATATCAAATGCAATTAAAACTTGAAAGTGTAATATAATTAAAGTAATTTCATTGAGATTATCATTATTAATATTATCTGTATTAGATTCTTCTGATGGATAAATAGTATAACAATTTAATATCAGATATTATTTTATTAATAACCTTATTATTATTTACTTTCAAATATTTTTGTATATTTATAAAATGTAATTTCTTGAATATAATTTATACTATTAAAATTAAGATAATTATTAACTAGTAAAATATTAGTTTTCATTATGCAATTTATCTTAAGTAACACATTTTCATACTTTTATATAGAATTTTATAGTCTTTATAATATCAATTGTTGTTTTAATCTTTTGTTATTTATCATATATTTAAATCTGATTTTTCAAAAAATTTTTTTAGATAATTTATCTATAAAAATTAAATTAAATTAATAAAAATATTCAATTTAACAATTATATTAATTCAATATTATCTATATCTTAAAATTATTAATGATTCTCACATTATAAAGTTGCTAATGAACAGTTATATTAGGCATAAAAATTTAATTGTTAAATAAGTTATAATAGTAAGTTTTTAAAGTGTATGGGTTAGTACATTATCTAATTAAAGAAAAATAGACTAATTTTGAAGATATATTTATGTATCTAATTTTTTAAGATAATCATTTCAAATTAAGACTTGTATTTATACTTTAGAATTCTAATAATAATTAACAAAAAGTGTAATTTATTAATATTTTCTAAAATATGAAAATTTTGATATTTATAAATAAATGTGATAAAAGTTTTTTAATTCTTATACTATTTATATTAAAAGAATAATAATCTAATTTTTTGATTTTTTTCATATGGGTTGTGATCTAAGAAAATCAGGTTCTGAGAAATTTTTGACTAAAATTAATGTCTTATAACATTTTGGTCTAAATATAATAAAAATTAAAATGCAATTAAAATCTCAATTTTGATAAAAAAATTCTCGGAACTTGATTTTCTTAGATCACAACCCATATATTGGTAATAATACTTTATATTTGAATAAAAATTAAATATTATTCTTCTTAATAATGAATGTTTCATTAAATATATCCACATATATTTGGAAAGAAAAGTTTATTACAATAAACTTATCTTCACCCAAACTAATAACCTCATCATAGTAAAAGTTAAATCTTTGATTAATAATTAGTATAATTATTTTACTCTATAGTTTATTTGGTTTTATTGATAAAACTAAAGATTACTATATGCAGTATAGTAAAAAAACAGTTTTCAAATAAATTTTATTTGATGCAACTTTGGACACAATGAACTAAATTCAAATCATATTAAAAATTTTGGTGTATTAAATATTATACTAAATTTATTTCTGATTATTTTAATTTGTAAACAATTTGCTACTATGAATAACATCATAAATGAGCTTGAGTAACATAGAATTCTAGTAGGCGATTGACTTTTTCTTATTTTTGATAAAAGAGACAGGAGCGGTAAACTTTATTAAATATTTATATAAAGGAAAGAAGTATCTAGTCTATATTCTATATGTAATAATCTAGTAAACCTGTCAGCTAAAACTAAATTTTTCAAATAATCAAAAAATTTAGAATTTCCTATATTTATAATGACATGATTAAAATCTCTCAAAAATAAATCAGTTTTGTTATTAAATAGCATCTATCTGTTGAAATTAATTGATCTAGAAAATATAGATTGTGATTTGTTAGTGTTTTTAATTCTTTAACAAATATAGAAAAGGAAATAATCCTACATAAAAGACTATTATCTCCTATTATTCGATTTGAAAAATTAGAAGAAAAAGAGATTTTTATCAAAAAAATTTGATTAAACATAAAGAAGCTCTGATAAGATTCTTATAAAAAATTCGATAAAAGTGTTAAGGCAAAAATTCTAGAGGTAAAATATGAAGGGCAAATTGTAATTGTAATTGAAAAGTCTAATTTTAGAAATATATTCAAATATTATTGAATTGTTGAATTGATACAATAATTCACTCAATAAGGATTTTACTTGTAGGGACCAAAGGTCATTCAAATTGTAAAATTCTTTAAAATATAGTATCATATTTGGGAAGGCATTTGTAAATTTGCATTTTCTTTTAAAA